ATTGTTCAATTTAAAATTCAAAATTTGTTGATTTTAATTTCAAAATTTTATTTGCAAAATTTTTGATCATAGCATTTTACAAACATGCTTGCTTTTAAGTCCAAGTGTAAAAAGCATTGTTTCCATTTCTTAAATAATCATCAAAGCGTAATAAACGCAGGTAAGTACTACTAAAAATATTATCCCCATGTTATATGTACTGTAGCTGTTTGAATTGCAGTCGCAAAAATGTATTTAGAAATGAAAGCAATAAGAATACTTTCGGTTTATAGACCTCAAATGCATTCTACATGCACGGTACTATGAACTCGGCAAAACGACTGAAAAGCGAGAAAAAAGATGATGGCGCGGAATGCACGAGCATGCGCCGCGAAATTTAAAATCTCTTTACGGTGGCTATAAACTGATAACCTGTTTAACCAGTTCGGTAATGGTAGACGCGGTACGTTTTGCTTCACAAAATTATTTCTACTCCGTTTTTCCTACCGATTATTTTTACTCGACATAACTTTCCTATCTCATCGCATTACGCGATAAATTCCATGAAAACTAATTTAGCATATCTTCTATTGAAATACGCAGTATTCATTTCCAAAAATTATCAAGTATTTTTGCTTAGTGAAACGGCGGTTTAGGTTCACCCAAGAAACCAGACAAAGACGTAACGTATCTTTTCGAAATAATACGATGATAATAAGCGTTTTCCTGAGTGAAGCACGAATTCATTACTCGTTTTCTTCGTTTAATCACAGATAAGTTTAATTTGAATTTTAATTATCGGTTGTCGGCATAAAGGTTTGTTTCATGTTCGAAACGCAACTTGCGGTTATATTGCTGTCAACATTGTTACGAACTATACCTGAGACAGATACAAAAACACGTATGGATTGTTCACCTATCGAATAGAAGTAGGTCTTAGGGTGGAATTGTGTTTACCTCTTCATCCCTGATGACAATCAGCAAACACACTTCAATCACAGACGAGGTACACAATAGACCTATCACCAAATACATTTATTGGCACGTCATGGGGGTTTTAGGGCCCCCTTACCATTTTTGTGTCGTTTCCAACGTTACCGATTCAGCATGGAATAAGATTACCACATTAATAGTGGTTGGAATTAGAACTAAATGTAAATATGAAATTACATTCTCGACACTATTTTCTCTCAATTTTCGAAGTTTTCCTGTCGAATTTCGGGATCTATCCGGACTTAGAGAGTTTTAAAGAGTGGTTGATTAACACTACTTATCGATTTTGAGAATGTATGGATGTTTGAGAAGTGGTTGATATACACTACTTATAATTCCGAAAAAATTCGACCGCCTGAGAAATGATTGCTAACACTACTGACTATAAGAAATTTTAGAATTTAGGAGTTGGAGCAAATAGTGTAAGTCAACAATTTGTCAGACTCTCGAATTTTTCAAAATTTAAGTAATGTAAATCAACCATTTCTCAGATTTTGAATCAGCAAATAATGTAAGTCGAAGCTATTTTCGCGTAAGTTTCTAAGTTATTCGCTCAAATTTTGGGATTTTTACGGTTTCTATGCGTTCCTAACGTTATCCGGATTTAATTTATTAAATTGTGTAATGGGATATTGTTTAAAGAATGGGTGTTTTGCAAAAGGAAGTGGATATAGTGCGTAAGGGAGAAATAAATAGACTGTAAAATGCTATAAAACAATACTGGTATATTGTAACCTTTTGTAAAATACATTTTGTACAGTTATTTTACAATAAATAATTGATTTTTTGATTAAGATTTGATTCAAGTTTTGTTCTTGATTGCTATGGTGGTCTGAAAGTCCTATCTGTAATTCACACAAAAGTGCATAAATTGTTCAATTTTCAATAAAAGTTATGAACAATTTCTAAGTAATTTACTACGTGCAATTATTAATTCAATATGAAACTAATAAATTAAGCTGGTTTATTAAGTTAAATCATGCAATTAATTTATTTAATACTTCTTATAATTATAAACTACTATCTAAATCGTTATTTAACAAGAAACACTAATTATTCTATAATTAAAGTACTTGAAAATGAATCAGAAACATTATTTTACTATCTGCATTATTACTACTGTTAAAGCAATTACAAATTTATTATAAGTAAAATTTTATACTGCTTACTACATGCAATTATGTTCTAATTTATAATAACTATTATTAAAAGCGAAAAATTTAAAGAATTTTTATTTTAAAAATCAACTAATAGGATAGATACATGTACTTCATTTCTG